ACCAGGCGGCTTGCTTTCTCACTTTCCCTCTTTCTCTCTCTCTCTGTGTGTGTCTCTCTCTGGTAAAATGAAAAGAAATGAATGAATGAATAAATAAAATAAAATAAAATAAATAATTATAAAAACATCATCATCTTTTCCAAGGTAACCTTATCATTTTTATTTTTACTTTTTTAAGAATTATTTTATTTAACTTTATTTATTTATTTATTCATTTGTTTGTTTCAATTTGACCAGAGAGGGAGGGAGGGAGAGAGAGAGAGAGAGCGAGTGAGCAATCCGTCAAGTCCGGGACCGGGACTCAAACTTTACTCAGCCATGTGCGAGTCCAGCGCCCCTAACCACCAAGCCACCTACTGGCCCCTCGGTGCCTTTAACTACCACTCCACCTGCTGGCCTGGCCCCAGATATGTTTTCTTAATTTTGATATAACACAGTTGATCAGATTGATCTTTTACTTCCTTAATTGTATTTATTACTATTATTTCAATTTGCTACAGGGCACACGTGCTTAATAGAGAAAAGAGAGGGAGAGGGAAAGTGAGAAAGCAAGTTGCTAGGCCCAGGATTCAAACCACAGTTGGCCATGTGGGAGTCCAGCACCCCAACCACCATGCCAACTGTTGGTCCCCAGTATACATACATTTGTGTGTGTGTGTATAATATAAAACTTTTATACTTCAGGTTACAATCCTTTTGGAATTTTTTGTTTGAAAGGCAGCACAGGTCCAGCAGGTGGTGTAGTAGTTTAGTTGCTGGATCCTACATGCCGACCACGGTTTGAGTCCCAGACCTGGTGGCTTCAGAATCACACCAGGCATATGTGCATGCCCAGTATGTCTCCATAGAAATTTTAGAATGAGTGTTGAAAAAATCTGCTGGGATTTTTACTGGGATTATCTTGAAAATGTAGATTAATTTAGGAAGAATAAATTCTTTTATAATAATAATGAATCTTCTAACACATGAATGCAATATATTTCTTTTAAAATATTTTTGTTATTGAAAAAATTTAAAGCACATTTTTAAAAGAATATTTATTTAATTCCATTGGTTATTATTTTTTATTTGACCAGAGAGAGAGAGAAAGGGAAAGCGAGAAAGCGAGCCGGCAGGGGCGGGCGTCTCAAAAACGGCACCC